GCTCTTCTGTCCTCTACCTGGATCAGGCCTCTTTCCTGCTACGTGGTGCCTCTGCCTGGACCTCTTGGCTTCTACATGGTTTCTCTGCCCTCTACCTGGTCCAGGCCTCTTGCCCTCTATATGGTTCCTCTACCTGGTCCGGGCCTCTCGCCCGCCACAGTGTTTCTCTGCCCTCTACCCAGTCCAGGTCTCTTGCCATCCATATGGTTCCTCTACCCTCTATCTGGTCCATGCCTCTCACCCGCCCCAGTGTTCCTCTGCCCTCTACCCAGTCCAGATCTCTTGCCATCCATATGGTTCCTCTACCTGGTCCAAGCCTCTCACCCTCGACATGGTTCCTCTAAACTCTACCTGGTCCAGGCCTCTTGCCTTCCACATGGTTCCTCTGCCTTCACCCTGGTCCAGTTCTCTTGCTCTCCACAGGATTCCTCTACCTGGTCCAGGCCTCTTGCCATCAACATGGTTCCTCTACCCTCTACTTGGTCCATGCTTGTTGCCTTCTACATGATTCCTCTGTCCTCTGTCCAGCCTCTCGCCCTCAACATGGTTCCTCTACCTTCTACTTGGTCCATGCCTCTTACCCTCTACATGGTTCCCCTGGTCTCAACAACACCCAGGCCTCTTGAATTCTAAACTTTGCGCCTTTACCCAGTGACACTTTCTAACAACATAACCTATTCTAAGTCAGTTTTGGATTTGTACCTCCCTTCTCCATGCACTTGGGATACCTAATATTATGTCGTTTGGCACGGTCTATTATTATGTCATTAATTCTGCGCTTCTACTGTTGCATTTAAAAGCTATTAAAGGTATATACGTTCATGCAATGACCCTATGGTTTCTTGCTAGTACTCTGAAGGATTCAGGGGGGGAGGGGTTGCTCCCACTTAGAGTTTGCAGGGAGGGACCCGAAACCCAAATCCCCCTACCCCGCGCCGAGAATTGTACACCTTTTCATTTCCGCTGTAGCTGGAGGTACAAATGAGTCAGGAGGTTTCCTTCTGGCCCCTCTGCGGTTGAGCTGACCATCCTGCGCAGAGCATAAGGGAAGGCGTTTGTAACGAGTGGTGCAAAGACATCAAATGGAATGGAGCGGGGGTTTCCGTGTGCGCACATCAGACACGGAGAGGGCAGCCTGAGGTTTTGCACATGCTGCCTCTTTGCCTTTGAGCTGCCCAGCAAGTCATATTTGATAGACAGCCACTTCCTGCCCCCAAGAACGCAGGACTCTGCTTCAGCTGCAGATAAGCCAGAATGCGCTCCTCGGCCGCCTGAAGTCAAGCAAAGGTAAGACATTTTGACCATATAGACATGGTGAATGTAGTTTATGCATTTGCCTTGGAACCGAGATATTGTTGTTGTTCAGTCGCACAGTCGAGTCCGACTCTTCGCGACCCCATGGACCAGCTCCCGCCAGGCCCTCCTGTCTTCCGCTGTCCTCTGAAGTTGGCTCAATTTCATGTTCGTTGCATCAATGACACTGTCCAACCATCTCATCCTTTGCCGTCCCCGTCTCCTTTGACCTTCAATCTTTCCCAGCATCAGGGTCTTCTCCAGTGAGTGCTCCCTTCTCATTTGGTGGCCAAAGTATTTGAGCTTCAGCTTCAGTATCTGGCCTTCCAGGGAACAGTCAGGGTTGGTTTCTTTTAGGATTGACTGATTTGATCTTCTTGCAGTCCAAGGGACTCTCAAGAGTAACCGAGAGATACAGGGCTACTAACCTCCCAGTGGGGCCTGAGAATCTCCCAGTATTACCACTCATCTCCAGACAACAGGGATCAGTTCCCCTGGAGGAAATGGCTGCTTTGGAGGGTGGACTCCAAGAAGAGAAGAGGAGATTGGGTTTATACCCCACCCTTCACTACCCAAAGGAGTCTCAGAGCAGCTTACAAACTCCTTTCCCTTTCCCTTCCCCACAACAGACACCCGGTGAGGTAGGTGAGGCTGAGAGAGCTCTTTCGAGGACTGCTCCTGAGAGAACAGCTCTGAAAGAACTTGTGACTGACCCAAGGTCATATTAAGGATAGGATTTAGGGGGCAGGTCCTGGGAAGGGCAGGGTCTGGTGAGGAGGAGGAGGAGGAGGATTTACACCCCACCCTTCACTTGGCATCTCAAAGTGACTTACAATCTCCTTTCTCTCCCCACAACAGACACCTGTGAGGTAGGTGGGGCTGAGAGAGCTCTCTCGAGGACTGCTGTTGAGAGAACAGCTCTGAAAGAACTTGTAACTGACCCAAGGTCACACCAGCAGCTGCATGCAGAGGAGTGGGGAATCGAACCCAGTTCCCCCAGATTAGAGTCTGCCGCTCTTAACCACTACACTAAACTGGCTCTCAAGGCATACCCCACTGAGTTCCCTCGTCTACCCAATCTTGCCCTCCCCAGGCTCTACCCCTAGATCTCCAGGAACTTCTTTACCCAAAGTTGGCAACCATAGGAAGACAAGCGGGGAAGAGGTGTTTGTCATGACATACTCCCAGCTCATAGACAGAGATTCTCAAGTTGGTCAGCTTTAAATTACCCGGGAAACGGGAACAAATGGTCGGCTCAGGTCTTGTTGCGCTGGCTGTCCCCAGTTCCGTCTCCTCCTCATGGCTTTAGACAAGTCCAGGTTTAATTGACTTGCAAAAAAAAAAAAATGTCCGGGAGAGGGGGAGTGGCATGTGTTGCCTCTGCAGGCAGGTCCCCTTAGAAGTTCAGTAAGTTGAAAAGAGGGTCCCACTTTAAAAAAAAAATATGCCAACCCTCCTCAAGCAAAAAGTACGATAATACAGTGCTGTTGACAGAAACACTCTTAATTCCCCTCTACCCAGGGCTTTTTTTTGTAGAAAAAGCCCAGCAGGAACTCATTAGCATAATAGGCCACACCCCTGATTGCACCGCTCATTGGCATATCAGGCCACACCCCCATGTTACCAGAAGTGTGCTCATCCAGCCACACCCACCTTTTGCTTCTTATTCTGTTTACCTTGTTTGTTGTCAAAACCCAGGGCTTTTTTATAGCAGGAATTCCTTTGCATTTTAGGCCACATACCTCTAATGTAGCCAATCCTAATGAGTTTCTGATGTTGGGTGTGGCCTATTATGCTAATGAGTTCCTACTGGGCATGGCCAACTTGGAAGCCAGCCAGAACTCCGTTCCTGTGCGTTCCTGCCCAAAAATAGCCCTGCCTGTACCCCATTTCTCCCTGAATACCAAAGATCCATTTCTTTTCCTCTTTTTAGGAATCTGGAGTCAGGTCTTAATCAATTCGGTTTTGTGCAAAGAGGAATTCAAAGGGAGGAGGAGCAGGGAGGGAGGTTCTGAAAGAATTCAGAATTTCGTTCTGTAGATACTCTGAGGCAGACAGTATCTGGCCGAACCTTCCTGTCCTCCTGCTAGAGCACCACCTGGTGGTGTGTAAAAACAACTGCAAGGGCTGAAGTTAATGTAAATCTGGAAATCAAACAGAAATGTAAGAGAAACCCATCTCTTAAAAGAGAATGAGAAGACTCAAAAGAGCCAGTTTGGTGTAGTGGTTAGCAGTGTTCCCTCTAAGCTGAGTTTGTGTGAGCTAGCCCATTGTTTCTCCGGCTCACACATTTTTGTCTTAGCTCGGGAAGAATGGCTCCAGTGCAGGCTAATTTATGCCGCCAAATCGCTGGCTCAGAACTTTAATGCCGGTAGCTCGCAAAGCAGAATTCTTGCTCAGCTTAGAGGGAACATTGGTGGTTAGGAGCGCAAACTCTAACCTGGGAGAACCAGGTTTGATTCCCCACTCCTCTACATGCAGCTGCTGGTGTGACCTTGGGTCAGTCACAAGTTCTTTCAGAGCTGTTCTCTCAAGGGCGGTCTTCGAGCTCTCCCAGCCCCACGTAGGGTGTCTGTTGTGGGGAAGGGGAAGGGGAAGGAGATTGTAGGCCACTCCGAGACTCCAAGTAAAGCGCAGGGTATAAATCTAATCTTCTTCTTCGACTATATTATTTAAAAAAGTGAATTTCGGGGGGGGGGGAATTCCCTCCCCATTACAACACTACAATAAACCCTTGTTTTCTGGCCAACTGGCCACCCTGCCAGTTGGATGTGGGCAGAACAGTGGCATCCACTCCCCCCACTGCAGAGCCCCGGGCATGCCTCGGTCCTCAGGCATTAGTAGGCACCCCTCTTTATATCAGCGGAAGAGACAGATCTGCACTCGCTAATCTCTTTAGAAGCGTCCTTCTCTGGGAAAAGAACAGGGAAGGCCGCACTGCTTTCCCGAGTTCCTTTAGCTATCAAGGACTCTCCAGATCAAAGTAACAGCTTCTCAACCTCCCTGCCCCGTTGATTAAATGGAAACTGCAGAGATCTGTCTCTGCGGCTTCTCGTGAAGCTGAACAGGAGCGGCGAGTGTCATTATGTGCCCTGAACTGACAAAGCAGCGATGGCTTATAAATCCCAAGCAATAAAAGCAAAGCCCTCCAGCTTCCGTGTAATACAATAGTCTCTCTCCCTGGGCCTGCTCCGTTTACTCCTGGCTGAATTCTGTCAGGCAGCATCTCATAAGCAAACAGCCCTCCGCACCCCTCGAGCTTTTAAAAAGTCAGTTAAAACTGCACCCCGAGACCTGTATAAATGATGATGCTTAAGCAGAGTTGCATTGATATTTTTTTTCTGTCCTCCCTGGGC